TATTTAGGAGTAGATTTTTATAGATTTTCTTTATCGTGGACAAGAATCTTCCCAAGTGGATTTCCAGACGATATTAATTACGAAGGCATCAATCACTACAACAAGATCCTAAATTTACTTGTAGCTAATAATATTACGGCTATGGTTACTCTGTTTCATTGGGATCTTCCACAAGGCCTTATGGCGGTAGGAGGAATGCTCAATCCTAGGTTTGTCACCTTCTATACTGAATACGCAAGAACGGCTTTTGAACATTTTGGCGATCGAGTTCAATATTGGTTAACTTTTAATGAACCTTTTCAAACTTGTGTGTTTGCGTATGGAGGTTTAATGTTGGCTCCTGCACTAGGAATCTCAGGGATTGCGGACTATCTCTGTGGACATAATCTACTGAAAGCTCATGCAGCGGTTTATCATTTATACAATACGACATACAGACCAAAATTTAAAGGTTTGTCAAATAATTAAATGCACGTCAAAAGAAGACTGCACCAATTTATTTCATTTGGTTTCTGTAATTTAGGTAAAATTGGTATCTCAATAAGTGCTGACTGGTTTGAACCAAATACTACGGATGATGAGGTAGCTGCAGAAAGAATACGGCAATTTTGGGTAATGAACAAACATTAACCAACATAACATAAGACAAACATAATACGAAGTATGTAGAAGTGTTTAAACAATGCTATATTTTCAGTATGGTATGTACATTCAACCAGTTTTTTCATCTAAAGGGGATTATCCTGATGTTGTAAAAGAATATATTGCTTATCATAGTTCTTTAGAAGGTTATAAACAATCGAGGCTTCCACAGTTTACTCCGGATGAAATAAACTACATAAAAGGAACTTATGATTTTATGGGTTTAAATCACTATAGTACGTATATGGCTAGCGAAGCTCCAAACATTAGTCTGAAAACATCTTACTACAATGATTATCAGGTCAGCCTATCGTCTGCTAGCGGTTCGATAGCGAATGATTCCAACGGTTTACTTGAGGTTAGATATCATACACAATACTTGCATAGCATTAACATTTCTTTTACTGTCCATTTCTTTCCCTTAGTTTGGATATGACTAAGCAAAATATCTAGGCACTTAAGATGTGTAAACGAATTTTTTGCGATAACCGCTTCAATTATTTACAATCGTTTGTCATTTCTTTTGGCACCGTGAAATTTTTCATTTGCTGAAATAGAGGTATCAAAAAATAAGAATGAATTACACTATATTCTGGCCCAGGCCGAATACATGTATCTACATGTGATTGTTGTGTTTTTTTGTATTATTCGATCCATTTTTCATCTTTCAGCATTATATCCCAAGTAGTTGTATATTCTTAAAGAAGGCCCCTGCAATGCGCATTGAAAAGGCAAAAATCCTTGTACCTATTTCGTTTTGATGATAAAGGGGATTATTTGTAGCTAATTCAAAAATAGTAAAAAACCGTTAAACCAACTTTTTCGGTACTTTAAATATCAAAATATCTTCTTCTATTTTGTCTAGAAAAATAGTTATTCCCAACAGAAATTAAACGTTTTTTGTGGTGGTTTAGCATCCGCTGTTATAAAGTTGTTTTTATTTCATTTTTGATCAAATACTATAGTTATGAAAAAATGAAAATGTAAAAATAATTGATAACAGAAAGTTCCAAAAAATCTTTTAAAACAAATTTTTTTTCCGAATGGGATGTACAATAAATTTCAGAAATGTGAACATGTGAATGTGAATAATTTAAAATGATGAAAAAAAATGTGAAAATAAAACCATTTACTGCTTTAGATTGTACCGTGGGGTTTTAGAAAATTGTTGGTATGGTTGAAAGATACGTATGATGATCCTGACATCTTTGTGACAGAAAGTGGGATAAATGATTTGGATGACGTGATTGACGACAAAAGGAGAATTTCATATTATGGCGTAAGTATTTTATCCTCACCACAGGCATCAAAAAGGTTGAAATAATTATAGATACCAGATTCATGGCATACCTACTCACTGTAAACTAATTTTATAGCAATATCTTGAAGCTCTCTTGGAAGCTATTTATATTGATAATGTCACTGTTTTTGCCTACACGACCTGGAGTTTAATGGATAATTATGAATGGAATTTAGGATATACGTAAGGAATATAAACAATAATTCAGTAAA